AATGAAAGTGCTACATTTATCCCCAAAACAAATAATAATAATAAAAAAGCTGCTCCATTAGATTATCTCTGATTCCCCCTCTAGTTCTGAAATGTATGACGTCTGTATTCCTCACCCTTACTACTCGGTGGCATAGTGCAGGGCAGCCAGGACTGTGAATCAGACCTGTGTTCTAGCTCAAGTTGTGGCACTAATTACTTGAGCAAATAATAGCTTCTTAGTTAGCTGGAATAACTGTTCTTCAATTTTTGTAAGGGTTCAGGCTAAAAAATCTATGGTTTTAGGCTATTACAAGCCTGGTGTATTTTGTGGTAGAACTATCAATATTGAAGTAGAACATATTTCTTAAACAAAAATAGTTGGTAAAGTAAGGGTCAGTGTTTGATAATACATAACTCCTTGTGAGCACAAAGGTTATCTATAATTTTCACAAAAGATAAAAGCTGATCAGCTTTTACTTTCAATTTTCAGTTACTGTAATATAATAGAATATTAGTATAATTAATCTAAAAATAGATCATTTCAAATAATTTAAGTCTACTTTTGGAGTCCATTACATAGTATTGTGGGAAAGCAGATTTATCTTGATGATGATTGTTTAGGTTTTATATTAAAATTGGTTTGCATTTTCATAAACACAAGCTAATCAGGCAGGCAGAAGGTGGCCCAGAAATTCATAGAGTAAATGGTTCATATGTGAATCACTGAAAGAGATATGTACATATATCACTTCATTGTTCAAAATATCCTGAATTTCAAGGATTTTTGTTTTGCTTTTTGTCAGCTAGTGGGGATTCAAACCCTTCACCTTGGTGTTACAACACCGTGCTCTAACCAACTGAGCTAACCAGCCAGCCCCTTTTTGAAGATTATTGTTGAGGGTACATTGAATTTTACATGAAGCCTTATGTTTTGTGATCACTGTACAAATTCTTTTAAAAGGAACTAACTAGAAGAAACTTCATTAAATTACACACAACATAGCTATTAATAAAGGACAGGTGACAGTATTAAGTTTTTTTAAGTTTTTTTTTTTTTTTTTTTTTTTTAAGAAGAGAATTGCCATCCTCACTCCCCACCCCCACCAACCAAATAATCTATCATTGTCTCCTTACAAATTTGTGACTCGGAAAATGCTGAAGGAATGGTACTTTAAGATAAGGTGATTCATCAGGTAAAGTAAGTGTGAACATGTAACTGGAGCAGGGGAAAACATAGTAAGTATTGTGAGCAAACAGAACACCCCTAAAAATGTCCTATAGAAAGTTAACTCAGCATTTAGACTTAGGGGCAGATGCAGAGGAAGAAATGTCCAAAAGAAAATGTCTAAAAAGAAAAGGGGAAAGGGTGCCAACCCATACTTAGTGTATTTCAAGATTCTATTCCAGGCCTCACAGGCACTTAGGAGTGGGAAGTTTCCTTTGCCTAGCCCAGAGTTTCTCAGCCTGAGCACTGTTGGCATTATGACGGGATAATTCTCCATTGTGTGGGCTGTTTGGTGCATCATAAGATGTTTGGCAGCATCCCTGCCCACTGGATGCAGTAACAACTCCCTCCAGGCATTGCCTAATGCTCCCTGGGTGGCAAAACAGCTTCTAGTTGAGAACCACTAATCTAGCCTCTCTCTTATTTAATTCTTTGGCAGCTGGCCATTGTGGGGATCCTAAACCTTGACCTTGCTGTTGTAAGGCCATGCTCTAACCAACTGAGCTAACCAGCCAGCTCCTCTCGCCCCTTTTTTAGAGTACTGGTTTGTATGCTTAACTGCACCGTACTATTTGTGGACCAGAGAACCTGACTTCTATGTAAGTGTGTTTCACTCCTCCTATTGGAGTATGTTCCAGGCTCTAAGTGACCGATTTACAGTGAATTTTTGTAACAGAGCTCATTAATAGTTGGGGAGTATGTGGCTTGTGCAGTATGCACTAATGAGAGACTGAAGGTGATATGCAGGAAAGATGGAGTTGTAACTTGTCAAATGCATTGTATGGGTGAAATTGTACACCTCTTTTTTGAATTGTTTTTTTGTTTTTTCAAAATACCACATCATTCATGCTTGCTGTCAGGATGATTACTGCATTTTTGTATCTTCTCATTAAAGAGGAGCAATAAACTAGTGAATATTTGCATGAAAAGAGGGCTTATTTAGAAAGTTAGTTTTTGAAACCAGGTTTATCTGATAACATGGCTGAAGTGAGCAAAAATCTGAATCCCATTAATATGGTTCTAAATCTCAAAAGCTTAGGTGAAGATGTCATTGGATGGTTCCATTTTATGAAAGTTATTACAAGTCTTTTAAAGAACCTTGTCTGAGAGTTAGAAACCAAATGGCCCTGGTCTGGACTCTTCCTCTGATGAGCTCTGTGACTTGGGGAAAATCACTTTACCTCTTTAGGCTTACAGATTCGCCTGTCAAATCTAGAGGGATGGACTGGTTGGCCTTCGGGAATGTGCCAGCTCTAACGTAGTGTCAGATTTTTAAAAAAATATGCTTATGAACTCTGAAATTAAATTTTTTTTTGAGTTTTCAATCTGTTTTACAGAGTACTGAAACCTAAAGGAGATAGGCTAGAAGAAGACTAATATAAATTTCATTCCAAGATGACTCCCAAAAAACTGATCTATTAAATTGTGCTGTGTGTAATATAAAGTGGGAAGAGTACCCAAGTCAGTGCTAAAAATTACTAGCTATAGACTATAAGAAGTGGTTGTTGTGAGAAACCAGACTTGCCTTGATTGCTCTGCAGGAGGAATATTTAAACGTTAAAAAAGCACAGATTGTGCTGTTGACATTAACTGAAAACCAAACTGTGAAAATCTCTTTTTTTTTGGCTTCCACTTTGTATGGAAAGATTGTGAAGACATCAAATTATGTGAAAGAATTCTCATGGTCAGTCATCTTTGTAAAGCCATTTAATTGGCTCTGTTTAGTACAGTCTGTGACTTTTTAAAACACGGTAGAGACAACTTTTCAAATAGCCATGTCATTTTTGTTATATAAATCCAGCTCACTCACTCAGCAAATGCAGTATCCTACTTCTAACGGTATCCTTTATTGGTAAAGTACAGATTTTTAGATCTTAGCCAGTTCTTCAGCCAGATGTGGAGAAAAATAACATTCCATTCTAATTCCTGAAATAATTACTTCAGTACCAAATGCATTTTCATCCTTTTCAGTTAATATGCAGAGCTTCAAATGTTGTCATTTGTCAAAAAGTCAAATAGCTCCTTTTCAAATTTAGCTATTATATTCGACAATTATCATTCACAACAGTGACCAGAATAATAAAGCATAACTCTCTCCTTTACTGAATACTTTTATATTTTTATTCCTGCATTTTAATTGCTTTGCTAAATCACGTACATAATATCTGATGCTTATAACCATTTGGAGAATGATTGTTGATGAAAGGGATATAGGACAAGGAAAGCTCATCTGAAGTTTGTCTTTAAGAGGTAATTATTGCATTATACCAGATATACAAAGGCATGTCAAAAAATTCGTGGAAAGATTTATAATATCTTTCAATTTTGTTTTTCCCCCAAACTTTTTGAAGTAGCCTTATATTGTCAGATTTCTCCATTTTCTTATTTCAGTGAGGAAAGGACCTTAAGGATGACCACTAATTTTAAGCTATTTCTTGTACATGCAGAGTGAGAACTAGAGATTTAAACAGTAGTGTCTAAATTCAAAACCTAATTTGTCTTAGAAATATTAGGGCAGAGTCACAAACCTTTCCTGGGCTTTAGTATCCTTTATATATAGTGAAAATAATGGTAGAGTACTATGGAGGATGCCTAATAATGGGAGTTATATTCATGCCAAATATTAAATATCTTTGCTAAATAATGGGATTTGATCAAATTACCTCACCATCTTTCTGTTTCCATTAGGTAAAATTGCAATAGTTGGATCTGTAAAAATTTAAAGAATAGAACTCAGTCTTTTATATACTTTCCTATGTTATTAATAAGATCAAAGGAAAGCAATCTTTTGGGAAAGATGATTCAAAGTGAGGAGAAAAAAGAAATATCATAAATTTCCAAAATCATGCAAATTTATTGTGCTCTGATAATTCAGTTGGATTTTAAACTCTATATTTCATGAAATAGATGCTATCTCTTTCACAAACAGAACTAAAAGTCAAATTTTTCTGTCCCTAATAGGGTACATATTTCATAGCTACATTAATTCAAAAACACTAAAATAACATGGTGGCAGCACTCAGTAAGAAACCAGTGTGGCTTTTGGCTATGTTTTGTTGCTTCTAAGTTCTTTTCAAGTATTATAGTTAACTGTACTCTTTCTGCTATTTAATCTGCTTATTCTAATTTCCCCATGCTATTCTTTGAGCTGGTAGATCTGCCCCCTCACTAAGAAAGCAAATGAGAATTAAGTAGTTTGAGTCTTACTGTGGTGATTTCTCTATCTTGCATGAAGCTTTCTTTATATGTAAATTATATATCCCCCCTTCATTCCAATCCACTATTTTTTTCCTGTCTCTAGATGTAAGGTTCTTAACGATGTTGGAGATTTCATCAGATGAGGACAAACAACTGGTGAACGTTCTCTGGCTCTTCACCCCCTTTTCCATATCTTACCAAAACCCTTTTCCATGATAAATACCTAGAAATATTTAGAAGCCCAAATATTTAAGAAAGTTATTATTATAATGCTTGCTTTTTGTGTTTCACCGCATTGTGTTAAGTCATTTGATGAGAAAATTATGCTATTATTTGGAAATAGTTTCCTTTGATTCTAATCTTACCACTATAAATTACATTCTTCTATTACCAAGGACCAAAGAGTTTTAACAATGTCCCTGCCTTTTTTTTTTTTTTTTTTTTTTCCTTTCCTTTGCCTTCCTCTGTTGTAAAAGTTGACAGATGTGAATCCCAGGGCAACTTAAGAGGTTATGTTAAAGTGGGGGCCATAAATATTTAATTTAGAAACCATGGAGCTATTCTGAACATGTTAAATCACTACTATTTGCAAATAGGAGGAAGAAGGCACCTACGATCAAACTCTTGAGTTCCGTAGAGGAGGTGATGGCCAGCCAAGGCGATCCACTCGGCCAACCCAGCAGTTTTACCAACCTCCCCGGGCTCGGAACTAATATGAAAAGGTAAAATTGAAATTGTGAAGGGGTTTCTATATAAGAAAGATACAATTCATGTTAAATATGTAGGTCTAATTACTGATATTTCATAATACCATACATTTAAAAAAATGATTCTTTAAAATTACTTTCAATTATAATGTATTTAATATTATACTATAGTTACACACTACTTTCCACCAAACTTTTCCCCACAAATTCTATTTCTAATCCCCTTTCTTCTCTATACCTATTTTTTTCTTTGGAGGTGATTACAATCTGTGAAATGACCATAAGATTGAAAGCAGAAAGGAGATGAAGGAAAACAGAGGACTAGATAATCACTAACGTGGATAATTGAGTTTATTTTTTATTGCTTAATTAATTTCAATCCTTTTTAAGAAAGAGGAAATGTTTCATAGTATATCTTCAGGAATTGGAGGAAGACAACCCAATTGCTTATTGAAATTTAATTTTTGAGCCATATACTATTGATCCAGAAGCTTTCATTTTAGAGTTTCATAAAGACAGTTGCTATTTGAAAATCATCTTCACTAGGAAGGAAGAGAAATATAACAAAAAAGTCAGATAATTATGGGACCAATCTAAGGCATCTCATGCCAGTGAACAAAGACCTTATTTTTTAACATGTTTTTGGAAGGAAATATTTTTGCCATCTTTGGTAGCACTTCTGTTTTTTTATTATGCCAGTGCTTTTGAACATTTTAAAAAATAATCAGTTTTTCCATTATAGCCTTTGGCATATCTCACCCTAAAGACTATTTTGGACGTAGCTATATCATTTTTCTCAGTTTCTTCTTTTCAGGAGCAGTACCACTGAGAATTTTTTAGAAATTGTTTTCAATTCCTCATTTCAGCTGTTCATTCTGCTAAGGCTGTTATCCACATTGTATTTTTCTCCTGAGTGACTCTCTCAGTTTTCCAAACCAACCATGGCTATTGAGCCCTTGAAATGTGGCTAGTCTGAATGGAGATGTGGTATAAGTGAAAAATACACACCAAATTTCAAAGACTTATTAAAAAAAAGAAACAACTCACTAATAATTTTATATTGGTTACATGTTGGAATGATATTTTGAATATATTGAGTTAAATAAGATGTGTTATTAAATTTAATTCCACCTATTTTGCCTTTTTAAAGTGTGGCCACTAGAAAATTAAAAATTACATATATGTCTCATGTGATATTTCTGCTAGACAGCACTGTCCTAGAGCCTTACATCTTCAGCTTCCCCAGAGCTCTTTTTTTTTTTTGATCGGTAAGGGGATCGCAACCCTCGGCAAGGTGTGGTCTGCACCAGGCTCAGCCAGCAAGCGCACCGGCCATCTGAGATCCGAACCCGCAGCCTCAGCGCTACCAGCGCCGCACTCTCCTGAGTGAGCCATGGGGCTGGCCCCCCAGAGCTCTTTCATTGGTTAAAAATTAGTTTTGTCATCCTAAGGAAGAAGTTTTTTCATTTATTTTCTAATCCTCAGTTTTATATGTGGTAATCTGCCTAGAGCTAATGCTAATTCACTTCTGAATTATCCAAGTAAGCCAAAAAAGCACTTTTTTCCATTAATCATTGGCTTTTTTGTGTGCTTAATACAAAGTCATCAAGTCAACAGTCCTGACCTACTGTTCATAGTATCATAGAAGAGCTCCTTCTCGACTTTGGGCATTTTTATGTAGCATGTGGGAACTGGTTCTTCAGTTAGTGCCCGTGACTATTTTCAAGCAGAATCAAAGTATATGTGAGGACTTTAGCAACTTTGCATTGTGTGAGTGTACTAGTCCATTTTCTGTCACTTATAACAATACCTGAAACTGGGCAATATATAAAGAAATGAAATTTATTTCTTACAGTTTCGAAGGCTGGGACACCCACGGTCCAGGCAGTGCATCTGGTGAGAGCCTTTTTCTTGATGGGGGCTCTGTACAGAGTATCGTGGCAATGCAGGTTATCACATGGCAAGAATAACAAGAGCAAGAGAGCTAACATGCTCACTTGCCCTCCTTATAAATCCATCAGAACTACTCCCTGATAACCTATTCATTAGGGCAGGGCCCTCACCGTCCAATCACCTCTTAATGGCCTCACCTTTCAACACTGCTATGGTCTGATTTCCCACCCTTTTAACCCTGTTACAGTGGGGTTCAAGCTTCAGTGAGTTTTGGGGAGACATTCAATCCACAGCAGCAAGATTGAATATACACTTAAAAATAAGCTCAGTGTGGTTATAATTAAATCTCTTTTAAAAGTAAATGAAACTGAGAATTCTCTTTTAGCTCTCTGAGGTCTTCTAAATTGGTTTTAAATGAGACTAAAGGTTGTCAACTTCCTGATTGCTCCAGGGCAGTGATTGTCTGAAAGTGGTTTTAGGGCTCTAGGTTTCTTCAGGGCTGCCTTTGGGACTGTTGAAGGCAGTAGGATCTAGCAGGGCTAGGACTGGGCAGAAGGCAGGGAAAGTGAGTGAGTTTGCAGCTAAGATGGGGATACTCTCAGTCCTCAGTGATTGTCTGAAAGTGGTTTTAGGGCTCTAGGTTTCTTCAGGGCTGCCTTTGGGACTGTTGAAGGCAGTAGGATCTAGCAGGGCTAGCACTGGGCAGAAGGCAGGGAAAGTGAGTGAGTTTGCAGCTAAGATGGGGATACTCTCAGTCCTCCCAACCTTCCTTTAGTTTCTTTCATATGTTTTATATTATTAGGGTTCCCTGGAAAATTTCCTTTGAAAAAGAGTATACTGCCTAAAAATAAATTGTAATTCATAGCCCAGAGGTAACTGTAGCTCATTCATACCAAATAGTACAATGCAAACAGTTCCTAATCAACTTAAAACATCACAATCTTATGGGTTTTCCATGATCCCTGAGTTAAAACTTCCATCCTGACCAAATGTTTGCTTTGGATTGTACTGTTAAAATGGGAATATGTGACACAGAAATTTTGGGCTCCTGACATCAGTAAGAAAATTAATTTGGGGGAGGTAGTCCCATCATGGTATTATTTATAAACCTCTCACTACAATCCACCCTAAAAAATAAATAAGCAAGACATATGTGATCTTGGTTGAAGAAGAGTATTTATTTTTGCATTTTAATCCCAAAATATGTTATGAAAGACTATGAAGTAGAATGAAATATCTCTTTGAGGTATTGTCTTTGAATGGGAGGTTCAGCAATAATAATAATTATATTTTTGTTCTTGTTACATAATTGAACATGTTGTTTACTTCTTCAGAGAGAATATTTTATTTTTATTTCCTCATTTCTGGTTTCCATCAACCTAAACATCTAAAAAGAAGATACACATTCTAGCCAGCCATTTGACTTCAAGTAAATATAAACATGAATTCTAGTAGATGGTAAAATTTTTCTAAGATTTTTTTAACTGAAATTATTCAGGATAGTGAGAAACACTTAAGGTGCTTTCTATTATCACTTTAAAAAATCATAATTTCATAGTCATAGTCTTTCTTTGTATGTTTTGGATACTTTGCTAGGTATTAAATGACACAGAGTAGCTTGTTCAATTAATGTTAATTAAATCAGTATGTTTTGCACATCCTTTGTCCTAAAAAGTTTTTTTCAATGACACTCTTCTCTCCCCCCCAACCCCCAGCCCCCATGTGCACACATGTACTTCTCCAATGTGGAGAAAGAATTTGATTCCACTTGAGCTTGGTGCTAAGGACAACATCAGGGACCAACAAAGCAGGAAATACCTGGGAGTCAGGGCTAGGTGAAAGAAGGAGGTCTCAGGGAACAGTGTGGGGAAATAGGCTCAAGGCTAAAAAAAAGAGGTGAGAAGTCAGATCTGAGACTTGAGGGGAGGTAGAGCGTAAACTCCAGACTTCTGGTTCCTGGACTATGTTATAATTGTTACAGACAACTTGGAAATATGAGCAGAGATAGAATAGAAAGATTATACACAGTTCTTCAGTCAGTGAAATTGACCAAAATTTTGTGCATTTGAAAATGTTTCTGACATGATTGGAGTCCTAGAAACTAGGTACCAATTAGTAGGAGCAGTCCTTAGGAATGATTTTTTTGTTGTTTTGCTGTTTTGTTTTTTTAAGTAGTAAACTTTATTTTTATAGCAGTTTTCGGTTTACACAGGAAGTACAGATAGTTCCCATACCCCGTTACCTCCCCCTCCCCAGCACAGTTTCTCCTATTATTAACATCTTACATTAGTGTGGTCCATTTGTTTCAATTATGAACCAATATTGATATATTATTATTAACTCAGTTTTACATTAGGGTTCCCTCTTTGTGTTGTGCAGTTCAATGGGTTTTGCCAGATGCATAATATTATGAATTCACCATTACAGTTTCATACAGAATACTTGTACTGTGCTAAAAATCCTCCATGTTCCACCTATTCATCCTATCATTTTTTTGTGTGTTGGGAGCATTCAGTATCTTCTCTTCTAGTTAATTGAAAGTGTACGGTAAGTTGTTGATTATAGTCACCCTACAGTACTGAAGAACACTGGATCTTATTTCACCTATCTAGCTGTAATTTTTGTATCTAACCAACCTCTCACTATCGCCCTTCCCCTTACCCTTTCCAGCTTATGGTAACCATCAAGGAGTGAATTTTAAGCTCCACATTCATGGTAGGATGGAGTTCTCTGAAGACATTGTAAAGGCAGAGAAAAGCTTAAAAAGAGGAAGAAGCAGAGTCCATAGCAAGTGGCTCTCAGTGGCTACAATAGCATGTGTGAACCAAAATAATGGGTGTTAAAAATATTTATTAGTGGTGACAGACAGTATGGCCTCAGATACATTAAGAATTTGAATTTGATATATTCGGTGCTACCACAAACATCTGAATAAAAGAGTGCTATGATGAAAGTTAAGCTTAGGAAATATTGCTGTTGGATGGACGATGGATTGCAGCACCAGGAGGGAAAGAATCTAAAACATTATTGCCCTGGTCCACTCAAAGAGTGGCTACAGCTGCATGTCCTGCTGTGAAAAGAGAGAGATGGCAGACCTGTGTAGAGTTTGGGACCTTTGAAGAATTTGTGAGACAACCCAGCAAGAAGCTCTTGAGTGCCGTGGAGGTCACAGCTCAGCATGTAAAGCAGTTTAATAAATGTTGACTCACTTTGAACTCCATTTCTAGTTTCTTATTTGATGATTTAAGCATAGGCTACTACATAAATACCATGACTTTGTTTATTTTCAAAGTTCAGTTTTTAACACCATTTTTAGCTACTTAAAGATGTATTTTTAAATGTTGAATTTTTTTGATAACCTGGGCCAGCATCCCTTTGCAAAAATTTTCAAATCAAGGTCAGAGAAATGATCACTGTCAAGACAGCTGTTAAAGAACCCTGTAATGCTAGCAGGACAGGCATCATGTGCAGATAATAGTACCCAAAGCTCTTTATTTTCTAAGCAGGAGACTGGACTTTGGAAGACTTAGGAGCCATTTGTAGCAGTCATGAGGACTCCTCCAGTCCCCACCCAAACATTTTCTCATGTGTGAAGCCAAAACAGGACTGTAACAAACAAGTCTTCTGTCACCATTTATCTCAGCTCTTCTGTCGTCACCCACCCAAAGTGGTTTCAACTAGAGTGGTACCTGCTAAAGATGGGCAGCAGGCAGGGGGAGATGACAGACCAAAATAAAGTACCTGTGTAGACTAACCCAATTCAGAGATGTTCAAAAAGGAAGTGGAGGTGGGTTGGATGGGGGTAAAGTTGTGTCACTGGCAGACTTCATCTTTTTTGGGTCATCCTCTGTTAAAAAATGTTCAGTTAATCCAAATCCCTGAAAAACCATGCTAGCAATAAAGAGTCTAGGGCTGGCCCGGTGGCGCACTGGAGAGTGTGCCACTTGGGAGCGCGGCGGCGCTCCCGCCGAGGGTTTGGATCCCATGTGGAGATGGGTTCCCGCTCACTGGCTGAGCGCGGTGCAGATGCAACACCGAGGGTTGCAATCCCGTTGCCGGTCCCTGGTATGGGTGTGACACCGAGGGTTGTGATCCCGTTACCGGTCAGTAAAAAAGACAAAAAGGAAAAAAAAAAAGAGTCTAACAACTGGCAGAGGTATACTTTAACAATTTCTAAGAGAAAAAATTATTTTTTTAAATTTTGTTTTCTTTGTATCTTGCTACATATTGTATGTTGTTTAAGTTTACTAATTAGACAGCAGTGTCCAATTTATTCTACTCGAGATCTATGGATATTTATATACTTTACATTTACAGTTATGTTTCAGCAGAAGTGCATCTTGACAAAGTATGGAAAAGTTAATTTGAGAGTCAATTTTATTTTCTTCCTTCGTTTTTTAAATAGAGCCCTGTGAAGAAAGGAGCTGTTGGCTGAAACATTCTGGCCAAAACCTGTTGATAGACCTTCTACTTTCTCTTCAGAAGAAGATGCAGCCATGGTGGATATTATTATTTGAAGAAAGAAAAAGCAGATTTTAGGGAGACAAAAAGATTCAGTCTACACAATGGGAAGAAATACTGAGTTAAATAAAGCAAATACCTTTTACAAGTAAAAGGAAGAATTTTTTTCTTCTGCTATTAATAAAACCATTGTGCCATTATATACTTCGTTTTACTGTATATTATATTTGCCTAATATTATCTTTTTTGTTCATCTGTATTAACCCCATACTAATTGCCTTCTATAGAATAGCAATTACAGCATACTTAAGCCTCACTCTATAATTACAGAATAAACTGACTTACACAGCTCACCACATTTCTTGCAAAAACAACCTGAAGCCAAACCGTAGTTCTTGTTGCGGTAACAACTGCTAAATATAACAGCAAAAAGTGTTTAAAACTTGAATATATTTATAGCACTCTACTAGCTTTTTAAAATGTAATTAAATTTCAAAAACAGGTATTCCCTTCCTCATAAAATGTGCAGTGGATCTTTTAGGGTAAGTTTGGTTGCAAGTAACAGAAAACCCACCTCAAGCCAGCTTAAACATTAAAGGGAATTTACTGGCTCACTTCAGAATTGGTATAATTCAGTGACTCAGAGATATCATGGAAGACTCTGATTTTTTGCATTTCTCATTTCTGCTTTCCGTGGGATCAACTTTATTCTATGGCAGGCTGCCCCACATGGCCACAGATGGCTTCCAACAACTCCCCGAGCTATTAAATCCAGGGATAGGGCCGGGGCCACTTCCTGAAGTGCACCGAGAAAAGCTTTTCTCCTTAGAACACATTTACCTGTATTGTGCTACTTTTCTACCCATGAAACAGTAATTCCAGCAAGGTCTGTGGGTTACTTCAGGCCTGATCCAAGGGCCCCAGCCTTAGAAGTGGGGGTGGTTTGTGGAGGTGGATTGGAGGCAGAGGATGTGCGTCTGAAAGTCAGGATACTTGCCAGGAAGAGAGGGGTGAGGTGTTGGTGAAGCAACCTGAAACGTCCTTTACAGTGAACCAATGTCTGAGTTATAGACTCTTCGTTTAATGGACAAAGACACTTTTCCTGTAGTCTCAGTTCTATGAAGCCTGAAGTGAACAATTAATTAAAAAGAAAGAATGAGAAGGAGGGAGGGAGGGAGAAAGAAAAAAAAGGAGACAGGAAAGGAAAATACAATACTCTAGCCAAAACGTAGTACTTTGAAGGAGAGGGCCTTAGGCATTCTCCCAGGGCCTACTAACTCTTAGTTTTATTATCCCATGGGTAGATACTAGGCTAGGTTGGGCTAGCAGTGTTTTGTTTTTAGTTTGTTTTTATTTTTAACCTTTACAGTGCATCATAATCAGTTAGGAGTGGGTGGATCTGGGCATTAGTATTTTTAAAAGATTCTGAATGATTTTAATGTGTGTCCTAGGTTGAGAACCAGGAGAAGGTCCATGATAGTTTTGATGAGCTTGACAGCAAGATAAGCCAATAAGGGAAGAGGCAGTAGAACTGAAAGAAACTCAAGTCTGAGGGCAGTTTAAAGTACTGATTCTCTGCACTTATTTGTTAGATGGGGACAATAATACCTAATATAGTGTTAAGCCTATACAGACTCTCACTAGATGGCACTAGTGTTGGCTAGAAGTTACTATTATTACCCAGCAGTCCCCAAGAACAGTTCTGTATGGTGGTGTGTGTGTGCGATTTGACTTGAAGACATGAAGAAAAGTTTAAATTGGGCAGCATGTGAGGCCAGCCTGTTCGTTTTACTGACTGCTGGTGGCTGCTGGGGCACTGAAGAGTAAGAGTCCATTTCTGATACAGCAAGATATACTTGGCTGTCAGAAACTAAGCTCTACTGTGGCTTTCTGTTACTGAGAGCAGCGGCAGGCCTGGATGTGTGGATGGGGTGCGTGGTAATAAAATACTCATTAGTATTTGCCAGGGTTTTCCTTTGTGCCTGACACCGTGCTAAATATTTTTCATTCATTATTTCTTGTCTTCACCACGGCTCTGTGAAGTAATCATTACTCTCTCTGCTCTGTAGCTAAAGTAGCTGACATCCTTCAAAAAGTTTCTGTCGCTTACCCCAGGTCACAAGGTGGAAGTGTTAGAGCCCAGACTCAAAGCAGACATGCTGCAGAAGTTCCTGTCAGGAAGAACCAACCCCACATGTCAGGAGTGCCAGCTGGGAAGCTTACTCTCTTCCCTCTTTTTCCCTCCTGTTTTTAGTTTTGGTTTGGTTTGGTTTTATTATGGATATATTCCATCACATTAGTTAGCACCTTTGGTTTGTTTTAGGTTTGCCCCTGCTTGGAAGTGTGATGTCTACCCTTGTTTTTCCTCCTAGTTCCAGGCAGATGCCACCGCCTCATGGACTCTTCCTCTCTACACCCTGCCCCCTGTGCCTTTCTTGACTTTCCATATTTATATTCTTCACTCAAGTTCTTACTTTTTCCTATGTTCAAAGAAAAAAATGGTTTTATTACAGTTCAAAAATTAATGTTTATGTATTCAGTTATGATTTACTGAGTGCTGTGTTTTAGGCACTGTGCTGTGATCAAGACCAACATTTCAAATTCCAACGGGTTCATGATCTAGCTCCTTTAATCAATTTGTTTCAGTGTCTGCATATTATCCTTTCCACGTTTCTTTTATTTATTATAAGCTTCATTTCTTTAATGTATTTTTGACTTATTTTTGCTAAACTATTGAAAAGTTTTTTAGTTTTATTATTTTACATTTTATCCTCTATGTTTTAGAATGTTTTTAATTTTAAAATATTTTTTACTTCTGGATCATTGATGTGGATATTAGTTTTCTAAAGAAAGTCTTCAAGGTAAGGGGAAGCACTTGAGGTTGAGTCTCCAAATTTTAGTCACTTCCCTAGAGTAGAACCCAATTTGAAGGCTGATTAGCACTGCTATTTCTTTCCCACCTATAGCCCTTCCATTTATTAAGATAGTCTAGAAACAACTGTGGGCTAATAAACAAAGAAAACTAAGAGTTAACAGGCTAAAGCCCACTCCCTCAAAGAAAAGTATCAAATTTTGCCAATTATTTTGGGCAGAGGATTCTCATATTCTCTCCTCTTTTTCCTCCATCCCTCCCTTCCTTCTTTATTTTTAATTGTTCACTTCTGGCTTCATAGGACTTAGACTGTCTTTGTCGTGTTAAATGAAGAATTTGTAGTTTACTTGACCTCACAGGCTTAGGCCATAATGACAACACCTCCAGCCTCATGTGATTCTCTCCTATTTCGGTATAGTTACATCTCTCATGTGCTTTTTTTTGTGACTCTCAACTAACGTATCATGGCTAAGCCCATGCCTAGTTCAGCTGACTGCAAGGAATAAGCACAGAAGGAATGAAGGAGAACATGACTGACAGTGGAACGATTTATTCTCCCATGGTGACTAGGCCAGAGTGGCAGTCAGCTTGCCAGCACTGACCCTTGACTGATATACACAGGAAAACAAAACTAGGCCTGTGTATGAGTGAGTTAGGGTGTCAGTGCATGGCTGGGAGAACCTTTACTACGCCCTGCCTGTTGTTCCCTTCTGGGGTGGATAGATGTATTTATGCTGTTTTTCAAAAGCAAAAAGTGTGTGCTAGGATGTCTATCATTCTTTCTTCCCTACCGCCCATTTCAGTAACACTTTTTTGGGGGGCAGCTGGCCAGTGTGTGGATCTGAACCCTTGACCTTATCAACATTGCTCTCCAACCAATTGAACTAACTGGCCAGCCCCAGTAACACTTCTGAGGTAAAATACTGAAGATAAAAATATTCACTAAGACAACATGGCATGTTTGCATGAAGGGACAAGGCCACAGATATAAAAAGTGGTTTTATATAAATAGGAAAGAAAACAGGGCTAACTCTTTTTTTGTTAACTACAGAATGAAAACCTTGAGTTTTGTGTCATGTAATTTACATACGATGGGAAAGAACATTCAGTCAAGAGAAGTAGGTATTCAGCCAGAGGATTAGATTCCACACCCCCGAGAACAGGTTTTCCTCCCTGGGTTTGGGTTGGACTGGAGAACCTCTATTGCTCAGTGCTGGTGGATGCCTTATGACACAGTGGGTGGCAGCTCCTGGTCTGGGCAAAATGATGACAAGAGGCCCCATGCCCTGTGGGGTCCAGCACCAGGAGACATGCAGGCGTGTCTGGAGCTCACCTCCAGGCAGCCGCGGCTTCAGGCTGCAGGCTTGGTGGGGTCACGCATAAGAGCTCAGTCCTCTCAGTTCCCTTTCCTTTGCCCACTTTGTCAAGCAGAGTGGAAGGAGGACCTGGCACATTACTCAAAAAAGTAGGATCACAATCAACTGCCTTGGTCAAAGATGCTCAAGAAAGGGATATTTGGGGCCCCATTCTAGAAGCAAAGCTAATTAATGCTTAAGTGTTTCAAAATCTGAGGAATGACAATGTCGATAAAGACACACTTGGCAGATATTTATTTTCCTCTCAGCCTTTGAGAACATAGGCATGAAACACACCAGGAGCGCACTGCCTGCTACGAAAGACTTGGGATCCTCCTGGGCTACAGAGGCAAAGAGAAGAGCTGGGGCTGTTATTTGGGGAATACAGGGCTTAAAGAAATACTAGGGAATCTGCTCACAAGAGGGGGAAACTGTTTCTCTTGTTAGGTTCTTGGGTGCCAAGAACCCAGAGGTCACTATGAAATCTTAGTGGTAGAACCTATTAAGATACCACAGCCTAGTGGGTGCCAAGAACCCAGAGGTCACTATGAAATCTTAGTGGTAGAACCTATTAAGATACCACTCCTGAGTTTCAATTCACTGGGGGTGGGCTCTGGACAGTAGCACGGGTTTTTCTGGCACCATGGTGACTCCTTCCTCTTTTCTTTGCTAATTTTTCTATCTGCCTGCTTTCCAAAAAACACAAGTCTCTGATGACCATGGTTAAACTGACAATGTGGGTCAAAATCTCAAAGCACTGCTTGCCGGTATTGTCAGGTGCACATTATATAATCCAGGGTAGTGAACATTATAACTTGAGAAAATTATGATGACATCATACTTAGTTGCATATTGGCATGGGCTTAAATGAAGTAATATACTAATTCAACTCAGAAATTGAACTTAGACTCATCTTGCAGGGTCTAGACAGTGTTTTTTAAAAATTATAAATTTAGAAGAGCTTTAGTAAGGAAA